AAAAAAAAACTGAGTAAACTATCTGCTACTCAATAATTACTGACTCGGCGTGAAGGTATTCACTCAAAGTTCCGACACACAGCTTTATTTGATGTAAGTTTATCTTGCTCTTTGGCGAAAACAATCAACTCTTTTCCGTAGGAAAGCTTCACAGTTCTCAATAACAGCTACAGGTTTCTTATGGATAAAAGTGACACTCCCATAAAACATCCATTGGTTGAAACCTACCACTGACTATATAGCATGGATAATGATGAATATTGTATGTCTTATTATAATCTATAGATTATGTGCCCCTATTCTTTACATAATTACAATTTATAATAAGCTCACCAGTTGTACATGTGCCAAACCTTCATTTTCTTCTACCCAAGCCAAATAGAAAAACAAATGTCCACATTCTTTGACTCTTCTCGATCCAAGTCTTCAACAATGTGGATCTCCAAGTTCTCCATCCAGCCTTGTGGCTTTCACCAATTGGAGGAATGTAAGCAAAGGTCAGAATGTCAGTTCTGAACCTGGACTTCAAGAAGCATGGTAACCCCCCCACTATCTCTCTTTTCCATCCTTACCCATCATGGTAAGGATGACATGAGGGAGAATGTGACACTTAGGAAAATTTCAACTTCCTGGTTGTGAGTGAGCCAGTCAGCTGACCTGTGTGACACATAACCTCAACCATTTGTTATTGTATGCTATCAACATAATTTATGATTTATTAATACTCATGACACGAGTAAAAGACGACTTGACTGTGGGTCACACATTCCTGTTTCTTCACATGCTTAGAAATCTAAATTAGGCCCGGTATATTGTAAATTCTACACTAGACAAGTTCCCCTCAAGTTTACAATTTCTGCTTTAGCAACAGTTCATTGGCTGAATACAAACTTCAAATCCTGTCCCCTCTCCAACAGCCACTAGTGAAGTTTCTGCCCTTTTCTTAATCAATTTATCTGAACAACTTGTAATTTGTCCTTAGCTTAAATAAGTTGTACCAGAGATTTGCAAAGAATTTATACACAGAAGTTGAGCTGGCTCCTATGTATGGCTCATGTTTGTAAGGTTTTTTCCCTGTTATTTTATAGACAAGATAATCATTCCAATTCAGTCTTCTTGACCCTTAACCAGTAAGAGATACTTGGAGTAGCCCTTTAAATATTTGGCATCTTTGATGGTCAAGATTGGAACCTAACCTTCAGGACAAACCTAGAAGGAGAGACGCTCAGTGTTGTTTTTTTTTTCTTCTAGGTTTCTGGGCTATCAGTTCTATCTGTTTTATCCCAATATGAAGTTTAATTTTATTTTACTTTAATATTTTGCCCAAAGTTTGTAATTATTTTCACTCTATGGCTATTAGAAACAAACTTTCAACCACAGGCAGCTGAGATGTCTTAACAGCACCTTGGCCCTTTCTCTCATGGTAGCTTCTATTCAAATAATCAAAAGCCCCAAACATTAGGGAAGGACAACTGGAGGTCTCTACTGTTTGCTGAACTGAGGGGCTGAATCAATGAACTGTGCTGAGTGGCAAACGTTAGGATCTCAGCAACTGATTGGTACAACTGTAACAACTTATTGACCATTTCCCTGTCTGTTGCTGAAATAATATCTATGGAGACTGCCTGAAAGAGCCAGAAGCTAGTGATCTACAAGGATTATACACTTCTGCTCAGAATCCGATTGGAAAAGCATCTTCCCATCCACAAGAAGTTGGCACAATTCAAATGTCTTTACAGGCTCTGGGAAAGTTCACAGACCTTGCAGCAGGGTGGAAGAGGTCATTAAGAAATGCTGTTGCCTGGAGCCTCTGGGTAATAGGAGATATATTCCTACAGGGAAAGCATGCTAGTGTATTTGATTAGGAATAGATGACTGGAGAATTTTTGTCATCTGAAACAGGGTACTTCTGAGAGCAGAGAAGTTCCTAGTAATAGTTATACCAAGAAAAAACCGTATAGAAATGTTGTTGTCCCAAGCAAACCGGCATGTTTTAGACACTGAGCAGAGTTCTGCAGGCCTGTTCTCCTGCACACATATGATGGGTAATCTATTCCTTGTGCTCTGTGGATAATGAAGTCCTGGGCAGCACAGTAGCCCCTAGATCTCATCTAAGCTGCTGGAGAAAAAGGAACAGGAAAGCACCAACAGGGTCACGACTTCAGATCTAAGGGCCTCACCACTCAGGCTTCTTTGCTGTGAAATGAGAGTACCTGGTTGTTTCTACCATTCTGCATCTTTCAGGTGTGGCAGGAACAGGGGCAGGGACAAGAGGCTGTCAGGCCCAGACAATGCCTTGACTACAGCACTGCTGTGATGTTTAATCTTTATAGTCAACATGATGGGATTAAGAATTGTCAGAGAGACAAGTCCCTGAGCATATCTTTGAGGGATTAGATTTAGACTAGGTTAACTGTGGTGAGGAGACCTACCCTAAATGTCAGCAGTGTTTTTCCGTGCTCTGAGTTCCTGGACTGAATAGAAGAGAGAAAGCAAGCTAACACCAGTACTCATTCCTTTCTAGTTCCTAACTGTGGATACAATGGGACTGGCAGTCTTCTGCTTCACCTTCCCTGTCATAAAGGACTGTGTATACCCTGGAACTATAAGCCCAAATGTTTCTTCAGTAAGGTACCGCTATCCAGTATTTTATCACAGCCGCTAATATAAGAGATGACTCTCAGCTGCTAAGTGGAACGCAGAGAAGCTGACCCATAAGTTGTGTGTCCCAAAATGACTGGGAAAATTCCCCGGCCAATGACTGAGAAACCCGGCTCTCACCTCAGGAAAGGGAAATGCTATGGAGTGACTTTTGCTTGAAAGCACTGTTAGGGTTCAGGCTCCTGTTAGACTCCCAAGTCGCCTGACTAGTCATGGCATTCAATAGAGACAAGTAGGCAGGAGATGCACCATTTTCAGAAGGAGAGGATAAGCGCCACACAGGAGTGGTATTTCCTACCCTCACAGAAACCTCTGTTTTGTTCTTAAGATCTCTCACTGATTGGATGGCACCTCATCCACACACCATCCTTAACAACCTAAAAGGTCAACCGACTGCCAGTTCTAAATGTACCTATAAAGTACCCTCACAACAAACAATTAAATAAACTCTGGGTACCAGAGTCTACCCAAGACTCCCCCACTTGCTTTGCTATCTCACAGTATTGTTTTTTGTTTCTGGAGCCAAACCTCATCAATTCTGAGGGTCCTGGAC